AGATTTTCGCCATTGATCTCAAGCCCTTATTCTCATTCTTTCTCAATTTCATACTCTAATTTGCTATTCCATACAAGACAAATTCTAGCTTTACATAATGAAGCTGTCAATACATTCATTATGTTCAAAATAAAGCAAATGCATTCTGTGTGCTAATCTCAAGAGAATAGCAGGAGATTGTCACCGGGCCTGAAAAGCTAGCCTGCATCTTTGACATTTGATCTAAGACGTCTGAATCCGTCATGGGCAGTTATCTCTTGACAGTGAGATGTCCTCTTATTAATGCACATTTCTGCACAGTTCACGACAATCTTCATACCAACCTTTAGCCCGGAGGGCCAATAATCAAACTGCTGTTCCGCTAAGGAATTCACTCCTGTCCAGGGCAAGGGTGAGAGAAGTGCTTCATTTTAGCGCTCAAGCTGTCTGCAAGATTGTGTAACTGAAATCAGCCCTGGAAAATGGTGTTGTAGCTTCCTAAACTAGTTCAGAGATCATGTACAACCACCTGGGCTTGCAGACTAATTGGTTCCACATATAATTAACACAAACATATCCCTCCTTCAAGTAAGCTTGTAAATTGAAGCCAACAAAAACAGTGGATATGCCGTGAATAAGGCTGTTATTGAAGAATCTTTAAACAAATACAGGACTCCAGGGTACAACCAACTTGTTCAGGAATGCTATAATTTTGATCAAGTGCTTCTCATCACACACATCCTGCATCTTTAAGATATTCAGTTGGTCAGCACAATTTAATTGAAATTACTGAAAATTAGAAAAGATTTTTTGGGATGTAGGGGGAAAAAGAATTCAATTTTATGAAAATCCTGTAGTTCTGCAAGTGCAGACTGACCTTACCAAAGTAGATTAAATTACTAAATACTGTAAAAACATTTTTTTAAAAAAAAATAATTCGTGTTTTTTTGAGTAGGCAATGATAGTACTAATGCAATGTAGGACGACTTAATATTTTAGTAAAGACTTGTCAATTTACATTGATGCAATGAATGCTGCCCTGAATTTATTTGAAAGTTACTTTACCTCTGGTTCAGTTGGTTGTATTGTTTGATTTCTGTCTGCAATGCCTGTATTAACAGCTAGGGATAGTAAGCTTTTCTGTGCTCTGGATCTGTCTTGAGAGTTCAAACCTTCATGCTTGCAGTAATAACAGGGATCCTTTCTGTCTTGCATATAAGGAGACAGACAAACTATCTATTTTAATTTGGAGGTTGTAAGTTAGTCCCTAATTAGAGATTTAATTTCCTCCTATCTATTTAGCCCTCCACACCTTAACTCTGCCCTCTGTAAAGATGTGGTGTTGGTGGAGCATAGAATCTTTTAAAACAACTTTCTAGAATTGTGAAGTTTGTGTGTAATATGCACCGATATATACCACATTAAGTAAATTGTAAATTGGCACAAAATATATTAAACTGGTGAAAATAACTTAGACTGAATCAGTTGACAAAGATTGAATGCAAGTTAACAGCACTTTGGATTCAATTCCTGCTCATGATGAGTTAACTGAATTCAGCCAAAGAAAGCAGAGCCACTATGAATTTTCCAAATGTCTACAGACTGAAGAGAGCAACATCTGCCAGAGTTCATGCTTCTGATCACTTAGTAGAAATGATTGTGAATATCAAAAATAGTACTATGATTGCAAATTATCTTTATCCTATTTGGATGGAAAGGTTTATGTATCATTCAGTTCCATTAAGTACTAAACCACTTCATTTGCATTTTTATTTAATAAACACTTACCCTGCAGAACAAACACTTTTCCAATAATGCATCATAATAGTTATCAACTTGAGCTTTTGAAGTGGGAAATCTTGTCAGTTTTTCAAATTCCTTGATCAAATTTCTCATTGAAAACGAAGGTTAAACTTTCAAAATTCTCTATCTTTTCCTTGCATATTTTTGCTGAACTTGTAGCTTGTTTTATTTCATAAAGATGCTGATTGGATAATATAGTGGAATGGATAGCTGCTGCAAAAAATAAATTATCTGTAACTCATCATTTGAATAGGCTGTTAGAATTGCAGGCAGAATATAAATTTGGAACAACAAGGTGCAGAGCTGGATGAACACAGCAGGCCAAGCAGCATCATAGGAGCAGAAAGGCTGACGTTTTGGGCCTAGACCCTTCATGAGAAGTTAGTTTAGATTTAAAACTTTTTCGAATAAGGAATTATTATCAGAATTCTAATTTGTAACTTTTGATTTCTGGGTGAATATGAATAGTTTGCCTTGTACTGTGCATCCAATATTTTGCCTTCATATGTGTCAAAATATAAGACATTCCCAACCCAATGTGTCATTTCCATTTCTTAAGTCACAAAGTTTGATGGTTTGAACTAATGCAATTGCATTTCCTGTCGTGCAGCTAATGAGTCATTGTTGCATGCACAAGTGAAGACAATTTGTGGATAATTTATTGTGTCATAACATGTACATTTTCTTTTCTAATTTTCTATCTTTTTTAGGTGTTTGTTTACAATTTGTGTTTGCCTGCTGGCACTGTTTCTATTCCTCTTGCACTGTATCACTTATTATGGCATCTTGTCTGTTTACTAATCCTTCCTTATCCCATCTCTGATGTTAGAAAGATTTGACTTTATTCTTGGAGATTTTAAAAAAAAAAAAAAAATCTGCTTTGGATTATGTGTATTTTGATATTTATGCCCAGCTATAGCTTTTGGTTTATTTTTGCCATGACTCTCTTCAGCAGGATTTCACTTTGGTGGTATTTGAGCAATGCTGATGACTTGCAGGTTATTAGTACAACAGATCTCTAGAGATTTTACTTCTAAATCTGTCATTTATTAATTTTGATCTGATGGCATAAAAATACACCCAAATCCATTTTTGTAAGGACTAGTTGGTTCATTGCCAATGCAGCCATTCAGTTCTTTTGTTTAAACCCGCATAGTGTAGTGTTTATGGAAAACAAATGCTGCAGTGTATTATCTTAATCTCATAAATAATTTTGAGTCAAATTGAATTTCCATACCAGCATTCCTCCATGCTCAGCAATCATTTCAATCAACATGTTCTTTAGATACACCCTAGAAAACCTAGTGTAGCAGCAGTGTGTGAAGAGATTTTACTTTTTCCAATTTCTTTTCCATACTTGCCCTCTTGCTCACCAACACTATATTGACTTTTACCAAAAGTGTTGCAGCTTTTATCACTGAAAACTTTGAGTAAAAGTGACCGTTGGGACTGATATTTGAGCTTGGGTGTCCTAGTTAAGACCTCCAGTGTTGTGACAACCTGTTAGTCATCTGTTGTCCATGTTGCATGTAACTGCCCTTGAAGTGAAATGTGGGTGTAACTACCTTAAGTACACAACTGTTGACTCTAAATTTTATTGTCTTTAACTTAGAACTCATGCTTACTGTGAATAAATTCTTTACTGTTGCCGTTTAGGAAATAGACTGAGTCTCTGCGTTCACAGTTGCATTTCTTCTTCTTGCTGCTCTGCCTTCAGGTGGCCAGTTTTAATCTGAATATCTTTGTTGCTGCTATTCACATCGTTGTCTAGTGGTGTTTGAGGTCCACTGCACCATAACCGAGCCATAACCAGGAATCTTGCTAACCCCAAGAATCTCTGAATTACACTGATATTTCCTAACTCAAGTTAATTAGGCTTGAGCATGCTCAGTTAGAAAGTAACTGCAGCCACTTGTCACTAACAGGCCATTATATTCGTGTAAGTCTCAGTTTGTATTGGTCAATTTGATATGGGTAACAGAACAACAATTACTTGTAATTGAAATAGTCGGTGACTGAAAACATGGAACTGAACTACTGTATAAATAGTTTTGGCTACAGTGATAAAGGGGCAGTCCTGTTAAACTGCAAATCATATTAATCTAATAATGTAGTTTAAAGTTTATGCCCTAACTTTTGAAAATGGAGCAAAGTCCATGAGTTTTACTTAAAATAGTGCAATTGCTTTGCTATTTCCCATTCAAAGATTGTTCTTCATTAAAAGTACATCACCGTTTTTACTTATTTCAAATCTTTGCCTAACCCAGTACCTGGTCTGTCTCATTGCTGTTAAGCTACTCTGTAATGCTGCATTTTATTTTTTACCCACACATTTCGTGAATCAGGATTTCAGATTTAAATCCTTTTCTTAGTTTATTATTTCTGCTGTTCAGAATATATTCTTCTTGCATGTGACTCAGCAAAATTCTTTTCCCAATATTCTCTATTGATGTCTTAGCCTTTGTGTTCCTGCCTAGTTGGTGCTAGTTTCTCTTGACCAAGAAAGACAATTTGTTTCCTTTTGGATTTTGAGTCATCTGTTTACCAATTTCCTTCTTTGTGCTAGTTTTAGCCATTTTTAAGGTTCCGTTGATTATTCCCTTTCAACTGTATGATGTTTTTAATCTCATTGCTCCATCAGAACAACCCTATTTCTTCACCTTATTTTGCAATCACTGATCTCTTAATCGGCCTGGAAGTTCAGAACTACCCAAGAACCAAAAAGCATATTGACTATGCAACCAGGAAAATGGATCTTTTTCAACCCATGTTGTCATACCTTGTTTTTAAGTCTCAAAATCCTCTATTAAATCTCCTCATCTTTTTCTACTCAAAGGAAGTAACATCTCCTTAATTATAGTTTCTCCATTCTTAGTGAAATTTTACTATTGCTGCCTGAAGCTAATGTTCTTTCTATAATTCTGATATTTTGCTTCTGAATGGACCCTTGCATACCCCCCATTTTGTCTTCCCAAAACTTTTCAGTATTTGAAATTAAAGGAATGCCTTGAGAAGGTAAAGTTTTGAACATTGTGATGAAGGATTCAAGTATTCTTGTTTTGTTAATAAAGCTGATTTGATACAGGACTGCTCCTTGAATCAAACTGTTGATCAATCAGTTTGAGATTTTTACCAATGTAATACTGTTAGGTTGACGTGCGTCCTGTTTTATGCCGTATTATGAACTGCATACTTGTATGCATGTGTATATATATAAGGTTAAAAGACCGAGTAGACGAGGTGGGTGCTATGCTGTTGGCGAATGATGAAGGCAGTCTCGTTCATCAAGTACACGCCGTGAGCTTTGTTGAAGATTCTATCTTCATGGAGTCTTCTGGTGCTCGCAGTTTACAGAATGAAGACAGGTAACTGTACACAGAATAAATTCTCCTCATCTGGACTGAGGTTGTCATTTTAAAACAATCCCGGATGGGAGAAGTAATGTTGGTAAACAAATTTTTCATTTTCTAGCAAAGTTATTTAAATTAGTTGTTGATTTTCTGATTACATCAACTTTATTACAATATACTCCCAAGTTTTCATTCCTTAAATTCCATATTTATGTCTCAATGTGCGTGGAGACAAAATGTCAAGTTAAAGGCAAATAATGGAGAGACCTGGAAATTCTTGTGTCTTAATACCTAAATTGAGACTAAAAAGAACAGTTCCTACTATCTCTAAAAAGAACAGGTTGGAATGATTTAACGTGGGAATCTTAGCTTTGGAAGAATACTGTTATATGTTTGTGACTTAATGTGATGATATTGCATTCAGAGCAAAATATATACACACTCCAGAAAGGCTGCATATCTACTTTAAGCTAGTGAGATTGAATACAGAGTATCTTTCTGCTGTGGTTTTTCTAAGTATTGGGATGTTGAGCCTGGCAAAACCTGAATTCCTCTGATCATGTGTGACGTAGATAGACATGCTGTGCCAGCAAATAATTGGCAATTTTTTGACTATTTAGGTGTTATTTATTCCACAATCTCTGTAATAGTATCAGCTTCAAGTGCACTTTATTTAACTAGAAAAATTCTCTCCATTTTTTTGATTTTTGTACCAAAGTACAGCATGCATTGTGCATAAAAATTTGCATTAGAATGCTCTTTACAGTTTTTAAAAAAAAATTAAACAACCTTCAGGGAAGAAAGAAATATAATTCAGAAACTTTATATGGAAAGTGTAATACATCTTATTTCTGTTTGAGAGTGCTCAGTCTTGCATTTGCCAGTGAGGATAGAAGGGAAGAAACAAAATAAGAAAGGAAAACAAATGTCAGATTTAATATCAAATTTTTAATCTTTAAAAGCTGTTGAATGTTTGTTGCATGCAGCAAGTACACTTAGATTGCTGAAGTTTTTGTTACACCAAAGTTATACCTTGTGTATTCCTGAGTGTCAGAATCAGACTTTGAATTCAGATAGATCGTTAGAGAGAAGAAGGTTAAGAGGTGACTTGATAGAGACATACAAGATGATCAGAGGATTAGATAGGGTGGACAGTGGGAGCCTTTTTCCTTGGATGGTGATGGCTAGCATGAGGGGACATAGCTTTAAATTGAGGGGTGATAGATATAGGACAGATGTCAGAGGTAGGTTCTTTACTCAGAGAGTAGTAAGGGCGTGGAATGCCTTGCCTGCAAAAATAGTTGACTCGCCAACTTTAAGGGCATTTAAATGGTCATTGGATAAACGTATGGATGATAATAGAATAGTGTAGGTTAGATGGGCTTCAGATTGGTTTCACAGGTCGGCGCAACATCGAGGGCCGAAGGGCCTGTACTGCGCTGTAATGTTCTATGTTCTATGTTCTATGTTCTATAATGAATATTGAGATACAAAACTTTGAAAAATAGAACATTCTGATCACACAGCAGCACTCTGCCACATGTAAGAACAAGGTTATTTTGCTACTAATAGTCTTTATAATACATTCTAACTTGTCCTCTTCTGAAAGAATATTTATTGGCACAATATTCCCAGTATTTTTGTGATTATACTGCACAAATATTTCTCAGTTCTGTATTTATTTAGTCTTGACTGTAACTATTGTTTTACTAACATTCTGTTTAACCCTCTTACTGACTTGCATCCTGTGGAACAAGCAAGATTAAGTTTTTAAAAATTGGTATTTAAATACTTTTAATGGATATAGTGTTAGATAATAATTATTATAGCATGTTTATTATCGTGTACAAATAAACTGCCATATTTGGTATGAGCAGCTAAGATGGGGATATTAAACCTGATTATAACACTGCTGTTTTAACTAATTTGCTAAGCTGTCGTACTGTGAGGAGTCTGGCTCAGTACTTAATTGAGCATGCTCAGTAACTACCTATTGTGTTACATATTTCGCTGTGGACGCATTTGAATTTATTTTAGTCCACACCCTAAATCTTTTCAAGTGCACAAAGCATGTCTGCCGTCCTTATCATGTCACTGCTTAATTTTATCCTCTTCAGTTGTGTGATTCATATTCCAATCAACCAACTCCACCAAAAATCATCCAGTTCATACGTCTTCTTTTCTAAATATAGCTAAAACTTACTGACCTTTAATTCTGTTGGACTGGTGTGGTAAAATTTCAACTCCTTACTGTCAATGTTTTTTCCTTGTAGACACATAGCACAGGCTGACCTGAAGACCTCCACCTTCTGGCTTCGAGCAAGTCTTGGAGCTACAGTGTTTGCTGTCCTAGGATTTGCTGTGTACAAAGCATTACTGAAGCAACGGTGATCAGAATGGGTGTATCATTCGTTCATAATTTGTTTTATACACAGTTTCAAGAGGCTGCAATCAATATTGTGTTTTTATTTTAATATGCAAACATATTTCTTCAACGGGTAGCGTGCAAGAGAACAAAGATCTTTAAAGGTCAAGCTGGTTAGTAGCCCCTATGTCATCTGAAAGGACAATGCAGATCTGTAATGACTCTAATGCAATTCCAGAACTTGTTTCTGTCTGCCATAGGTACCGGTAGTGTTATCTGTAGAAGTTCTGTAAAGCGAGAAGCTGCCAACGTCAGATACCCAAAAGGGACATAATTATGTAAATAGTGTAAATATTTGCACAATCAGCAGAATGACATTGTTGCCCTGGGATGCCTGATACAGTTATGAAACCTACTGTAGGTTTATCGTGCAACAAGTTACCTGTTGGAATGATTGTTTCATGTGGATGTTTAGAAGTTTATCCTCCGGTCAGACTTGCCTGGTATTTAAAACATTTGTAGGTGTTTATTTATTGTTTAAGTAATATTTTAATCTTGAAAGAAGCAAATCTACACAAACTGAAGTCACCAAGAGATTTATTTCTCAGGGTATTGGAGTACACAGAATAGCAATCTTTTTTAATCTCACAGTATAAAATTTCTATATGTATCCATAAACTAATTGTGTATCAGAAAACATGGACAATTTATTATTTGTCTCTTCCTTTCCACTACAGTCTTCTCCCAGCCCCCTGTATATTATTTGTTTTTTCCAAGCCAGGCAAGAAGACAAAGGTTGTTTTATTGCAGCCTTTGAAGGATGCAAATCTTCCAAATCCCCGTGATCTTTGCACTCAAAAGGAAATAGAATAAGAGACTTCTTTGTCCTATACTCTGAACTATGTTGCAATGCAAAACAGTACAGTTTTGCTTTGTTAGTATGTAGTAGTTGCATGGTTCACAGTACAGTTAACTCTAAAATATTACATCAAGCATCCTTGCAATTTTCTGTTACAATGAATTTACATTTTTCCTGCATTTTGAACCAATAACTGTTGCATCACATTGTTTTTCATCCTAACTTTTTCAAACAGTTTCAATAAATATCTACATGCTATATCATATGTGCTTGCAGTTAATTTGTTTGTGTTCAAAAATCTTTAATTATTTTAATACTTCAGGAAATTTTTATCAATAATCAAATGCTTGTTTTAAAGTTCTAAAGGTTTGGGGACTGGTTGGTGCATTCTATACTTTTACTTTTAGCACCGTAGTTTAATTCTGTTGCTAGATAGTGGAATTAATATATTCTCTCAGCCTGTAAAATTCTTGTGGAATAGATTTTAAGTATCCTCAACCCAGTTCTTGGAAGTTGTGGAATGCAGTACAAAAAGAAAGTAAGTAAGCAAGCAAGCACAAAGATATCAGCTCAAGACAGTGTGAGCTTAGGAGATTGGCCATTGAGGGAGGAGATGCTATTCTGCTTTTTTTTTACATAAAAGGAGTGGGTCGAGAGAGGGAGTTGGTGACTGGCAGCAGAACCTGAGAGCATTAATTACCTGTGAAGATAGGTGAGTGTTTGGTGAGTTGCTTTTTTTCCTCTTGAATCGGGGGTAGTTTAAACTAGTATTGGGAAAATATAAGTATTGCATTAAATTTATAGATTAATTAAACAACTAGACATAACAGATAAATCAGTAATATTTCTAACCTTGAATTAGTTAAATGAAATACAATAACTATGGCAGGGCAGGTGATCTGTTGCGGTTATAGCAGATGGGATCCAGTGTGCACCTGAGATCCACAGGTGAGATTTGATCTTTTGATGTTCTGATCTGTCAGGGACAGGACAAATTACCTAGTCAGTTTATTCTGAGGGTTCACTGCAAGGCTAGACTTGATCTATGGTCAGGGTTGGGTAGTTGTGAATGTGAGTGAAGCAGGTTTGGGGATCAAGAAAGTACAAGAGCTGCCTCAGCCTCTTCAGTAGTTCCACAGATGTCAAGTTCTTACAACTTGTGTAGATGAGAGCATGGACAGTAGGGAGGATGAGCAGACTGACTATGACTATGGCATCATGTGCAGGAAGCCATTCAAATTGGGGGGCGTTGGGGCAGTGGAGTTTTTTTTTAAAAAATGTAGTTGTAGTGAAGGACAGTGTCTTTAGGGGATAGATTTAGTTCTTTACAGTCAAGAACTTTACAGCCAAGAACAATGTCCTGAGGGCTGTGTTGCCTGTTCTGAGCCAGAATTAAGAGCATCTCCTCTAGGCTGAAGAACAAGTTGTAGTAGGAGAGATAGGAGCCAGTTATCATGGCCCAAACTGTTACCAACAACATCAGCAGGGACTGAGAAAGAGCTGCCAAGGAAGTATGAGCAGCTAAAAGGCTAAATTTAAAGACCAAACCACAAAGATAATCTCTGGATTACTACCTGAGCCACGTGTAAATAGGCATAGGATAAATAAGACCAGTGTTGAATGCATGGCTGGAAAGCTGGGTTTGGCACTGCCCACACCCAAACTACATTAGGGCAGTGTGTTCGCAGGTAAGTTAGGATTCATTAAATACTTCCTAGTTGTGGATCCTCTCAGCAAAAGTGATCACAACATCTTGGCACATGTTTGTACAGTGGCTGGAAGCTGACTCATCCACTGGAAGTCAGCTGCGCAGCTGTAATGTACTCTGGGCAGTCTAAATTAGCTAACTGGGATTTGCGTCTCTCACTCAGGATTAAAATCTGCTCTTGGGCATTGCCATTTAAATAGCTGGTAGCTCCATCACTCCTGCCAGTAATAAGAGTCTCAAAAAGACTCTGGCTTCCCCAGGAAGGTAGGACCCAGTGTTGCATATTGGGCAGGATCCTAGAGATTGGGGGAAGAGGGTTGGGGTGGCAGGTTTTGACAGTAGGTGGAGTAGAAGGAAGGGTTGATGTCAAGGTGGGGGAAAATGATAAAAAGATAACATTAATGGCTCTTTACTTGAATGCATGTAGCATTCAGAACAAAATAAATGCATTAACAGCACATGTAACGGTTTACAGGCATGATCTTAGCCATTACTGAGACTAACAAGGCAATCATAGCTGTGACCTCAATATTCAGTAATAAGTGACTATTCGAAAAGTTAGACAGGAAGGAAAGGGTGGTGAGGCAACTTTGTTAGTTGGGATGGAATAAATGCAATGTCAAGAAATTATCTCTGATTGGAAGATGTAGAATCTATTTGGTGGAGGTAAGAAATAACAAAGGTAAGAGGATACTGGTAGGAGCTACATGGTAGTACAGAGAATAAAACACTAAACAAGGAGGACATTTTAAAAAAAAAAAAAAAAGGCAGCCCATTAATCACAAGTGATGTAATTTTGCAGTTTGGGAAAGTCATATTGGCGGAGGTACCCAGAGAAATTATTGACAATGTATTTGGGACCATTTCCTAGAACAACATACTTTAGATCCAACCAGGGATCAGGCTATTTTGGGTTTGGAAATGTGTAATGGGGCAGGTTTAATAAATGATCTTAAGAGTATAAGATCTCCTAGAAACTGGTCATAACATGGTAGAATTTAGCATTCACTTTGAGAGGGAGAAACATTGGTTGCACACAGCTGCATTAAAGTTAAATAATAGCAATAATTGAAATAATTACAATGGCATGAGGGCAGAGTTGGCTGGAGTGGACTGTGAAAGGAGTTAGCAGCAAAGGCAGCTGAGGACAAATGGCAGACATTTAAGAAAATAGTTCATCCTTGCAGCAAAGATATCCAAGTGAGAAAAAAATTTCTAGGAAGATATTAAGCCCACCATGATTATCCAGGGAGGTTAAGGATTGTGGGGAAAAAAACAATAGTAAATATTAATGGTAAGCCGGAGATTTGGGAAAGTTTCTTTTTAATAATAATACAGACTGTAAGAGCTTTTCATTAAATATATGTCACAAGATGGCAGCAGAGTAGGACACTGCTCGGAACTCCTCTGTGTGCCAATCCCTTTTATCTTTTTTTCTGTCTTTCTTTCTGTCCACTTTGTGATTACCGCTTCTCCCCCCCCCCCCGTTTCCCTCCTGAGAGTGGAGTTGCAGAAAGAGCACGGCCAAGTCCCCCAGCCGACAGGAGAGAGCAAGGGCCGAGTCCTGTGGCAGAACCAGCACAGGGAGTGTGGCCTCATGCTCTGGGGCCTGCAGGCACACCCTGTCAGCCCCAGAGCTCCGTGAGCAGTGAGCCCTGGAGCAGCACATGAGCAAGCAGTCCCAGAGAGCGTGCAGGCAGTGAGTCCTGGACTGAGACTGGTGTGAGGGGACAATCCTCACCTTAGAACACTAATGTTAACACCTCAATATTTTCCTATTTTTAACTTATTTTTAACTCTGTAATTAAGCAACTACTTTTATTCCACTGCTGTATCTAAGAATTGTACCTAGATATTTGTACCTAAGACGTCACCATAAGAAGGCAGACATTGTAAAAGATTTTCACTGTACTCCGACAATGGAATACACATAGCAATAAAAAGATACTGTATATTGTATTGTAATTGAAAGGAATACCAAATTGAACTTGGGCCCCTTAGAGAATGGGGCCAGGGAAATAATAAAAGGATCCAGGAAATAGCAGAGGAGTTGAAAAATATTTTTTATTCATCTTCGAAGTAATAATATCATTCCAAAACTTCTAAAAAATCAAGGGGTAAAAAGGTGAGAGAAGATAAATAGAATAAACATCACCAGAAAAAAGTTACAAGGGAAACTAATGAGACTAAAGACCAGTAAGTCCCCTGGCCCTGATGGGATCCATCCTAGGATATTAACAGAGATAAAGGATGCACTGATGATAATCTCCCAAGAGTCCTTAGTTTCTGGAACAGCGTTGGAGAATTAGAAAATTGCCAACGTAACACCTTGATTCAAAACAAATGGAGACAAAAAGCCAGTAAGTATAGGCATGTTACTTTAACATCTGTTATGGGGAAATTGTTAGAATCTATTACAGAGGATGTAATAAGAGCATTTAGAAATACATAACTTAATTGAGCTGGCTCAGTATAGCCTCATGAAGGGGAGATCATGCCTGTCAAATTTATTGGAATTTTTTGAGGCGAAAACAACCAGATTTGATAAAAGGGAAATCAGTAGATATAGTATATTTGAATTTCCAGAAGTTGTTAGATAAGGTACCAAACATTTTTCGACTTAAGAGCCTGTGGTGTTTGAGGTAGTATGCTAACACGAATAGTGTATTGGCTAACTAATAAAAGACGAAGTTGAGATGAGGGGTGTATTTTCAGAATGGCAACCTGTGGCTAGTGGAGTCCCACAGGGATCAGTGCTGGGGTCACAATTATTTAAACAATGTATCAAGGGCTTTGGTGAGGAACTTGAAAGTACTATTGCTAAGTCCGCAGATGACACAAAATTAGTTGGGGAGGCACATGTGAAGGTGAAACACTCGGAGCCTACAGAGGGCTATAGACAGGTTAAGCTAGTGGAGAAAATTTGCTGGATGGAGTGTACTGTGGGAAAAATGCAGTGATGCACTTTGGCAGGCAGGCTCAACAGCAGTCAAGAAGCTTGACACTATCTGAGACAAAACAATCCACTTGATCCACACAACACCCGCAAATATTCATTCCCTCCACCATTGATGCTCAATACTAGCAGCGTGTATCATCTACAAGATGCACTGCTGAAATTCATCAAAGCTTCCTTTTACAGCAGCTTCTAAGCCAACGACCACTTCCATCAAGAATGATAGGGGCAGCAGATATATCAGATCCACGCTTACTGAAAGCTCCCTTCCAAGTTGCACATAATCCTGACTTTGAATTATATCACCACCACTCCCTCAGTGTCATTGGGTCAAAATCCTTGAAAGCCCTTCCTAAAGGCATTGTGGATCTACCTACACCAAATGAACTGAGAAATTCAACAAGGCAGCTCACTACATCAATGGCAGTTCAGGATGCATGATAAACACTTGCCCAGCCAGCAATACCCATGTCTCATGAATGAACAAAAACATTGACAATAGTAACCAGTTGACATTACACAATCAAAGAGTTCCACAGCAACCATATTTTACATCCACCCATGGGTATCTCCGTGTCCTTCATACGTGTTCTTTATAA